ACTAGACGTCACTGCGGCCGAAGTGACGTATTCAGCTTGGAGGCCACTCGCACGCTAATGACCTGGATGTCCCCGAGAAAAAGAACAAGATCGTGGACACGGGAGGAAGAGAGACAGAGAGATTCAGAAGATTTTCATCAATACAAACGCGATAATGACGAGAGAAGTCGGAGCGAGTCTACACGTGCTATTAAAGTTGGGGAGTTGAATTTGGAAGTGATCATAGACACGGGCTCCCCGGTTTATTTCATGAGAGGAAATTTACGATCAGGTTTTACATGCCCTGAAGATGGAGGAATTAGCGGTCCTTATCATCGTCTTCAGTAAACGGACAACACGTGTCAGAAAACGAGCTCTAATGTCTCTCTAAATGCAAGGGGAGGCATTCCATCGAGTCTTTTTGATCTCGCCGCAACTAGCAAGCCAAGGCCTATTACAGACCGAAGTTCCCTGTTGCTAGGAATTTACATTAAACTTAGGACCAGGATCAAATCGACATACAGTTCGGTATCTTCATATAAATTAAGATGAACAAATTGTGGATGGAAAGACGGTGGCCGAGGACTACGAGAAGGACGCAGACGAATTCCTTGTAGTGTCTTGAGCGGCAGGATTACAAAGGACGACCGATAAAGAAGCGAACTGCACGCACCAACAGAGATTTAAAGGCAAATGTATGTGTTCTGTGTCTCTTGCATGTCGATATGTTTGAATGCATATGTGGCTTATATCTTCTTATTGATGGCATGAACACAAATTTATAATAATCACACATTTAATTTAAGCAGGTCAGCGATGTCAGTAAAATGTCAACGAGATAGACGGTCAGAGAAGTGTCTGGTCTTGAAATGGGAATGTTTGACTTATACTCTATCTGGATATGTCAAATTATTAAATGCGGACAGACAGACAGACAGGGTAAATGTAATAGGCGCGTCTTTGTTACTTTTAATTTACATTGCGCCGGACTACGTAATGAAATACAGGTTGGGATGTTGAAATGCAGTGAAATGAACATTAACGCAAGTCTCCGTCCTATGGACTTCAAAGATTTTTAATACGAAGCTCACACAGCCGACGTCAGTTGCTTGTTCAGGCCCCCGTCATCTTGGCCTGACTGATCGTGGCGTTACACTGAACTGTCGCAACCCAGTTCCACAACTATTTCCGCAACATCAGTTATAATTCCAACGAAATATTTCGGTTTATTTTTCGTTTCCGGATCTGTGCCACGTTCTTCAATGCGTCCTGTCCGCATTCGAAAGGTAACAGAATCGAATTCTGGCACCTGCAGCGAGGACATTTTTTATTTTATTCAGCCCGTCGGAATAAATTTCGAGGTAGTATTTCAAAATAGGCCTCAAACGTTCCATCTCACACCCACCACGATTAACTACCTGCAGTCATCCTTACTCTACGATAAATAACCAAAGCAGCTGAAACAGCGTCTTAAAAGAACACAATAAAGATCAACATGAATGAGCAAGTGTGCTGCTGGATGCCGGCAGTGTCTGGTTGACGATACGATTTATCATCAGGCCACGACACCTGTCACATTCTTGTTTCACCCAAACTGCAGCGTGCGATACAGCAACGTAAATTAAACAAGTTTTATTGTATAAGGTTGATGTAACGCTCTGGGAAACTCGTTTGAATCTTAGCCAGACAGCGTTTTAATAGTACTGAGGCAAATGCCGAGATTGAGGAAGGCTACGACCACCTACTTTGAATTCATTCCACTACTCACCGTTCATGATCGCCTGCCTTCTCGTCTCACGACGTTAAGCAAGCCAAGAGCCAGTGAACAGTAGTGAAGAAGCTCTTACCTCGCGTATCCTGTGCTGCACTGCAATAGGTCTCACTGACCTCCTGTAGCTCCACTAGCCGCTGCCGAGGCTGTCTAACGGTGGTTTGTGGGTCACCAAAACCCCCTTCCCCTCATTCACATATCAGGGTCAGTGTCCCTTTTAGATCCTCTTCTGTCACTCATTTGCCTTAAGTAGTAGGAAACTTGTAACTGTATCCACACACACACACACACACACAGGGAGCTGTGCTTGCAAATGTGTACTCAGCTGTTTTCTGGGCTGTAATCTGATAGAAGTTTACCAACGTTTCAGATATTCTTGCTGCCTCCATCATCAGGGCATGAAGACGTAGGCAGTAAGGCCTCTGAAATGTCAGTAAACTTCTACCAGACTGCACATCGCTACAGCCCAGAAGGCAGCCATCTTAGTTCTCACCGCCGTGAGAACCTCAAATCCTGCGTGTACTGAAATGTTACAATGCGTTTCCTGGGATTCCATATATCACTCACTGACCTTGACGCAAGTTCAGTGTAGTAAAGCAACGAAACGTGTTACAGACACCGAACTCTTCTGGTCCACTCAGCATTTCGTTATTACATACGGAAGTACGACTAAAAGGTTGTGTAATCCATAAACTGCATTTACCGCATATGCAGCCATGTTGTGGGCTGGGCCATGCATTTGGAAAGTTGACGATTTTATCTTTACCAACCAGTGCAATGTAATGTTGTGGGCTGCGCCATGCATTTGGAAAGTTGACAATTTTATCTTTACCAACCAGTGCAATGTCTGCATCAGTTCATTATTCACTGTCATCCTCTCATTCGACCCTGCATAGTCTCAGCTACTGAGAAAACGTCGTTAAATAAATTATAAATAAGTAAATTATTCAAATATCGAGATAATAAGTGCTATTAGAAACAATCGCTATGAAAGTTATAAATATGCAGTGCAGTTAAGGCACTTTCGTGACAAGGGTTGGCAACATTGTATTAGATGTGGCTTCGAACACTTGAGCAGCTTTCAGTTGTAGGTATTCTTCACGCTCTAGTGTGAGGGAAGAACACTTTACGGGCCCGTCCATATCTTGCCCGTATTTCGCTTTTTCCGACGGGGGTGTACAACCTGCATGTCCAGGAATTTTGCTGCTCAACAACGGAACTGAAGGACACATAGTTGCAGTTCATTGTTCAGAAACAATGAACTCGTATCACAAAATACAATAAATACCTTGGGGCAATAAGGACCAACGCGATGTGGCATGAAGAACACCATTGAAATATGAGTGTACTCCAAAGAGTACACCTATCCGAGCTAATGTGGGAAGTGGTAGCATGTTTACTATTAGTACTCCCTGTTTCTCTCCGCTTTTGTGAAAGTTTCGGGATCTGTGAGACTGGTGTTATTAGCCCCGGGGATAATAGGTGACTGGGTGGCTCCAGAGCTGGTCTTGGCGCAGAGGCTAGAAGGAAAATTATTTGCCCCTGCCAGGGGATCTGACCGTCTCATACGTCAGACAAATTATGTCGAAATTGTTTGCAGCGGTGAATGACATGCTGCGAATCCGGACCACAGAGATTACACAGAATCTCTCAGCAATATCCAGAACGGAGTTTTTGTGAATAAGCATCGTGAGTAACCAGAAATTTTCTGTGCAAATTACAGTTACAGTGGGAATTGAAACAGCTCAACGTAATATTGTTCAGAGTTTAAAAGTGCTGTATCTCTCGAGGTCGCTCCAAAAGCATTTGTATCTTGCTGTTTTATGATTTCGGTGCAACAAAAACAAGACGGTGCAGTGAACATTACGGCCAATGAGGATCTCAGCATCACACATGGAATGGCAGTCTGTGTGGACGTGCTGAGGTACCGTTCACCTGCCTGGCCTTCTGGCAACAGAATCAAGGTCAACCGCTACTACAAACCGCAAGGTGTCGGTTGTAGGTCGCTTTATGTACAGAACGTTACAGAAATCCCCTTTCCGCTGCGTTCATGTCACAGTAAGACGGGACTCAGCGCCTGTGTTTATTCAACCAATCCGACAATCCTCTTCTACCCTGATCCAGCTTAATCCAATCGCCATCTCCCCAGCCTAGTTCTCTAGAACACATGTTAATAGTCGCTTTGAGCCTTTCGAACAAAAATGTTGTACGCGTATTTCTAATTTTCCCGTGCGTGCTACATACCAGATTAACCCACACTTGTTTATTTTCATACTAAAATATAAGGTCAGTAGTATATTATGAAATTTTCTCCGACTCTTACTTCGTATTTCTTAGGTCCAGAAATTCCCTCTGCAGTCCTTGTTCTTCCTGCATGGTGAGAGATCAGATTTTGCAACTGCACAAACCAACAAGAGGAGAGGGGGGGGGGAAGTTTGTATTTCACGCATCTTTCTATCTAAAAGCATTTGTGAACACCAGAAATTTAACATTAAGAATATTATTTGTGATTTAGACTACACCGCGTCGAATGATAATTCGTGACTAATTAATTGAAAAGGATAAGCAAGGAACCTGCATTTGCCTGGAGGAAATCAACGAAAATTCCTCAATCGGAATAGCCGGTCTCCGGGTCGAGATCTGAACCTCGGACTTCTACTCGACCGCAACATTCGATCCCGGAATTTGTCGATTTAAATAAGCCGCCCGAGGGAGGAACGACATCCTTTTGTCAGAGAGCATAAGAACTAATAAGTTTAACGGTGTGTAGTGTCTACAGCCCAGAGTACACCCAGGCTGTCAAGTGCCGCGATTATAAGTGAACAAAGAATTGGGAAGGATGCTGTAATCCGTCTCAGGCATTTACGCGGGATGACTGAGTAGAACCACGTTAAATAAACCATAAATACGTGGAAAGGTATCCAGGTGGTGCTTTTAGTTGATAAAAGTAGGTTATAACCACAACGTAATGATAGATCTACATGTTTCCGGCTTTATTCTCACTGAAAGCGAAGATTACAAGTTTTTTTCTCTAACTAGAACACATTTCTGAAGTGTAGTTGTGATTATTTCTTAATAGTTTTTATTTAACGAGTCCGTTAGCCAGCACCCGATCTTGAGCCACATCCCACTGTAATGTTGTTCTGACTTCTAAGTTTATTCCGTACCAAAATTCCGCACTGGGAAGAAACGAAGAATTTTGGATGGAAATCCGGTGACTCAGAGCGGCACACAGAGAAATTTTGGTTACCACCAAATTAAGAAACAGGAAGGAAATCGGATGCCTCATACGCAGAAACAAACCATGTGCATGTGACAGTTGGGAAAAAAAGTCTCATTAAGAGCTACAACTTTCGTTCGAAACATTTTATTCAGTATTTTTAATCCAACACTCGCACCCACACAAGATGCCTGACACAGACATTCCCACTGTCGCACGATTGGCAGTCTGCAAATGATTGTATTCGGGAGGTCCTGGGTTCAAGTCTCGGCCTGAATACAAAGTTTCCTGACCGAGATTACTTTAACGGCATATGCAGTCTGGTGAAGCACCCATTAAAATAACTTTGTACGGATGAACCAGCTTTAGAATTATACCAATTTTGATTAAATTTGAATTATCAGAGAGTTTTACAAAAATGTATCAAGCCATTTTAATCTTCATTCAGACTGCACAGTTTCAACTATTTCAAGCAATTTTTGGGGCTTATTTATTTATTGATATTCATGGGTAATCCGCAAAGAAAAATCAATTTCTATAAACCCTCTTTTATGTGCAATGCTGAGTGTGAGGCAGGTGGTACTGCGCTGGGTTCCAAGGTCACCATCCTCAGACTATATCACAGAGATTGAATATTCTGTTCCAAAATATACGTTGAAAAGACACTTGGATGAGAAGAATTTTTGCAACACAGGACTGAAATGCCTGAGAAGGAAACTTGCAAATCTGCACTTGATGAAGCTAGGACAAAATGTGGATCTTCAACTCATCCTGGAAATTTAAAAGAGCAAAAGAAACCAGAAGGATCACCTATTGTTTCAGATGAATCTCAGTTCTATAAATAAACCGACTCAAGTTCACAGAGGTCAAGTACCTTGGACTGACATCTGACAAGGAACTGACCTGATGTGCGCAGCAGGATAAAGTTAGGAATAGGGCCTTCTGGACCTGTAAAGGCACTTTTGGGAAGACAAGGGGACTTAAACCGTGGTGATGAGAGACCCACAATCACCTATGCTGCCATGACTTGGTGGTTTACATTGAAATATAAGACTAGTCATGCCAAGCTGAGCAAATTGCGGAGGTTGGCCTGTCCTTGTATTAGAAGAACCATGAGGATGGTTCCTACTGCTGTAATTGAGGCCCTCCTGGGGCTCTGTCCTCTTCATTTGAATGGAGAAACTGAGGCCCAGGTTGGAATTTAGACTCAGTTGCAGTGAGCAGTGGAGACCCAAATATGGGCACATGAGTACAGCTTGGGGCATGAAGAAAAGTCCATCCTATAGATGAGGAATGATACCAAGATATGCATTCTACAAACCATTCATGGTTAATAGAAGTGAATGGGGGTAGGGGAATTGTACCCATGAGGCAAGGGGGACACATCTGGTACAAAGATGGATCCAGAAAAATGAAGGCACTGGAGCCAGGGCATTTGGCCATGGTATGAGGTGGAAGTTCTGCTTCAGTCTAGGGTGGCACACCATGGTATTCCAGGCCAAATTACTAATATATGCTATTAAATAGGGTTTGTCAGGTTTAAAAACCGGTTTTTTGGATAAATTTGTAAAATTAGAAAACCGGTTTTTAAAATCTAAAAGACCGGTTTTAGATACTAGAATTAATATGGAAAAATTAGTTAATTAATTGATTAAAAACGTTAGAATTTTGACTTGAAATCGCCTCGGGCACAAGCATATTGTAGTAAAACTAATCTTCATGAGTCAAGCGAATGATTGACATGCAAATCCACAAAAGCGTTCCATTTTTAATTTCGTGAAAAAGAACAGTTTAGAAGAAATTATAACAAAACTTGCTGCGATGGATGGATTGTCCATTAATAACATTACAACAAGCTCGTTCATACGAGAGTCTTTGCAACAACGGGGATATTCATTACCAAAAAACAACTCTCGAGTAATGGATCTCATTCATGCGTTTTATTACAATGCCAAACGTGAAACTATAAATGAATTGGATTGTATTAAGAAGAATGGGAAAAAATGTTCTATAACTTTAGATGAGTGGACTAGCAAAAGAAATCGCAGATATTTGAATATCAACATACACCATTTTGCACAAGATTTTAATTTGGGCTTAGTTCCAATAGCTAGTTCCTGCGATGCTAAGAAAACATTAGAATTAGTTTCTGAGAAGCTACAAATTTTTAACTTGGATCTATCAAATGACATACTTTATAATTCACATTTTGTACGGATTTTAGTTACTTTAGTTTTTTTATTTGGTTTTATATAAGTATATTTTATTTTGTTATATTTTTGTAGTTCCATAAATATTAAATAAACTGAAAAAATTTAAAATAAGTATAAATATTTTTTAATGTTTCAACTATGTGTTCTTTTGTTTTTTTGTAAAAATTCGAAAACCGGTTTAACCACTTTTTTGTAAATACTGGAATTCGAAAACCGGTTTTTCAAAAGTCGGTTTTTGTATAAACCCTACTATTAAAGCATACGCCAATAAGAATATTAAAATGGGCTATCATAATAGGCACATTTATATTCTCTCAGATAGTCAACCTGTAATCAAAGTACTCGACAATTGTAAAATTTACTCAAGGTTGGTCTGGAATTGCCATAAAACCATTGTGACAATGGCTCTATGCAACAAGTACAGGTGATGTGGGTGCTAGGACACAGGGGAATTGATGGCAACAAAATTGTGGGCTAGCTCGCTAAAATGGGCTCGCTGCACCTGTTTATAGGACCTGAATCTGGCCGTGGCATTTCCACAACTGTAGCAAGGTGGGCTATTATAATTATAGATGTTGTAAAGGATGGCATTCAGCAGTGTACGGGGTAGAGAATAAGAAACACTGGTGATTAAAGCTTAGTAGATATCAGAGCTTGTGGTGTAAAACTCTAGCTTTTGATTTATATTACAAGCATACCTTGTTTTATTGCACTTCACTTTATTATGCTTCGCAGATATTGCGTTTTTTACAAATGAAAGGTTTGTGGCAACCCTGCATCGAGCAAGTCTGTCGGCGCCATTTTTCCAACAACATGTGCTCACTTCGTGTCTCTGTCACATTTTGGTAATTCTCGCAATGTTCTCGCATTGTTTTTTAGACATAATGCTATTGCACACTTAATATACTACAGTTTAGAGTAAACATAACTTTTATATGCACTGGGAAACAAAAAAAATTTGTGTGACTTGCTTTATTGCGGTGGTCTGGAACCGAACCCGCAATATCTCCGAGGTATGCCTGTATATGATTTAACTTCTTTTTTTGCCACTGATGATGATCTCTTGAGGTCAAAATGCATATGGCATTAGTGTCCTTCGTAGTGTAAACAGTTTTGTTTGTATGCATTTTTTATATTCCAATACACTACACGGTATGCAAGGTTTAAAGATTCTAGCCATACAACTTCAGTACATTTTCAAGGAATTAATAGGAGTTACAAAGAATTATAAACTTTATAAACAAATTTGAACTTTCAAATTAATTATGAAATATAGATTATTGTTGTCAGTATTGACAGAGTATATGAAATAGAGATACATAAGGAAGACTGTCTCCTGGGTTGTAGCACAATGTAGTTTGGTGCAGGTTTGCCAACATTTTAGAGGAACTTGTTGTCCTGATGATAAAAGGAGCAAGTAGCTTTGTAATAATGGTGAACTTCTACCAGATTACCTAGTGCTACAACCCAGAAGAAAGCCATTTTCTTCATACTCGGAGATATAGAATTTGGATGAATGACTTTGAAACACTTACAATTGGCTACACAAACTGACTACAAAATTCAGATGAATGAGAGAAATAACATGGAGGTGCTTAATTAAACATTCTAGAAATAACCTCCAGCTTCTACGGGTTTGCATTTGTGTCATTTGCTAGCCAAAATGCACCAAAAATAACCACTAGGTAAACCAGTTTGACCATTTGATTCTGATTCAGTTTTGATGAAGGTATAATGTAATCTGGATTGTTGGGTTTTTGGACCTTGTCTGATGTATTGGGATTAGCTCATTCTAATGGACCCCACAGACCTTTCACTGAACCTGAAGATGAGGACATATCCAGTTCACTTTGATTAATTTTTTTTTAAAAAAGTTTTAAGTATCCAAAAGAAATTTCAGTTTTATGTGAGTACTTTTCAAGCATCACATCAGCACTTCATTAACTAAGTAGCTTGTGGATTGGCTATCAACCAATCAGATGGACATATTCTACATTCTGCCTTCTCTATTATGTGATAAACTAAATGACACTCGAGTGGACAAGACAGCCCACTGGTGATTGACATATTGCAGTTTTAGTATGTGACTCAGTGGGTGAGGAGATCACATACACGTGAGCATCTTCAGGAAAAGAGGAGCGACAAGCAAAGTTAGATCCTTTACGTTCAACTATTACTTTCAAACTTTACCAACAAAACTTTTCATTTGTATCTTCATTTAAATGTAATAATGAAAAGTGTGGAGAATCATTTTTTCATTCCATAACAAAACACTGAGGGTGCATATATTACATATGCCATGAATTATGTGATGTAACACACTATGCCTCATCAAAAGAAATGCTTTTTCTGAAGGCACATTTATTAATCTTTGTTACACATATCACCCTCAATGGACTAGTGGTTAGTGTGCTCGCCAATGGACCCAAGGTTCACAGGTTCAAACCTTGCCAAGGTTGATGGATCTTTAAGGGTGATAAAAATCCATAACACAACTTCCTTTGGGGGGGAAGTAAAGCTGGCAGTCCCATGTCACAGTTTATGGCATGTAAAAGAACCTTACAAGCATGAACAAGATGTTTCATACGAAAAATTCTGTGACCATTTCTCACCCATGTCTCTACTAGATGGCTCTAGCAGACAAATCAGGACCAAGTAGAAATTATGCAGAGGCAGTATGCTTGTCACTCACTACTCACAAATGCACACTTCAAGGACTAATAAGGACAAGTTGCCTTGAGCAACTGTCCCAGAACAGGTCAATGGCCCAATCCTTGAAGGCAGATGATGTTGATATTACATATGTTTACTTACAGCATATAATACTGACCTGTTTCACATCCATATTTCATTACAAAAATAACATTCAAATGGAGTTTCAGGTCTTTTTACCAATTTTATACAGAATCAATTATCTGATTTATTACCTTCTCTTACATAACTGGATTTATTATCATGAAGAAAAAAGTATAATATTGTGAAACAACATTAGTACAGACTGTATCTTGAACATGCCTATTCAATCTCACCAATATATACAAGCTTGTCACTAGAACCTGACATAATAATAGGTTCCTTAGGATGGAAGTCCACATCATTTACAGAACCATTATGGCCTGGCAGTTTGTAGAGAATCCGACGAGATGTTGTGTCCCAAAGATAGACAAATCTGTCAGCTGATCCTGCAGAAACCTAAAACAATCACATGCATTTAAAGTTGTAGCTGTTCTTGTGTTTTAATATTTTTCATTTCTGGTAAACTATAAAATGTAATTTAAACAAAAGCTATTCACATACTGTAATCTACAGATGACAATCTACAATGGGGATGAAACTAGAAGATACAATGTGGTCATTACAACAGAATTTTTAAATTCCAAAGAAACAGCTCAAAGAAAATGCCATTTGTAGGACTTGAGGTTTTCACAGTGGTGAGTTTGAAGATGGCTATGACTCATCACTCTGATGATGGAGGCAGCAAGGACCTCTGAAACGTTGGTAAATTTCTACCAGACTACATGGCACAACCCAGACGACAGCCATCTTCTCAATGTCATTTATTCCTATTACATTAAGAGTTTCTAAAATGCAGGCTACCTGAATTATGCAACCACATTACAGAACTGACTGTACTTGAATATGTGCTTCTGACATCTAAAAGTGAAAACATTCAGAATATTCAGTTACCTAAAAGTATGCATGCTACAGAAGCAGTAGTAAATATGGGATTACAAACTGACAGCCCTCTTACCTTTGAACCATCTGGGGCCCATGCACACCGTAATAAGTTTTTCTCAAAATTGTGCTGATGGCCAGTTAAAATCTTGACACAGCGTTCTTGAGGAGCAAATGGCCGCACATCCCATATTCGGACTGTGTTATCCATTGCATTAGACAGAACATATGATCCATCTGGAGACAAGCTTAGTCCAGTAACTGTGTCTCCATGGCCTTTTAATCGATACAAGAGAGCATTTTTCCGAAGATCCCACACCTTAATATCATTATCTATTCCTCCAGACAATACCTGTTCAGCTGTGTCACTAAATGTTACAGCTGTAACCTGATATGTGTTATTAAGGGTAACTGCTTGTCCACGTTTTCGTGGATCCCATAACTTAATGGAACAATCATCAGAACCGCTACACACCAGCTGTGGTCCACGTCTTGCAGGATGGCATGAATTCACAAATGTGGTGTGGCCTTTCAGTTTCTTTACACGAATTCCAGTCTCAATATCCCACATTCCCAGAGTGTTGTCGGTGCTAGCACTAAACAACGTGTTACCATCTGTAGAAAAATGCAATTCCATGATGGCCCCAGTGTGACCAGTCATTAAAGATATATTCTCACATTCCCCGTACACATTCCAAATGTAAATTTGGCGATCAAATCCTGCAGATGCTAAATACTGCCCTTCGGGGTGAAATTCTACCGTAAAAATCTCTCCTTGGTGTCCCTCAAGTAGCATAATAGGGGCTGTAAGGTTAGATGTTCGCGGTATATCACTTTGGACGATACTTGTTCCCTTGCTGATATTAGCAACTTCATTTCTTGCTCGCTTATTAGCCAGAACTACTGTTAGATCTTCTGCCTTTCTTTTAAGATCCATTATGGAAACGAAAAGGAACAAACACTTTGTTGGTACAGGTTGTACTACAAGGCACAGCACGGAAAAACTAACGTTGTTTCACAATTGAAATTCTATAACTTGCGTAGTCAGTATCTCCTTACTATGAACATATTCCAAAAGTAAATTTTGGAAGTACCATTAAAACAAAGAGCTTAAAGTCGTGTATTAAGTACAGGAATGACGCCATGAAATAATTGTCGATATGTTAAACTGCTCAACCGATGCCATAATCGATACATCGCTACTACTCGATACCACTCGAAACCATCAGGTTCATAGATAACCTAACGTCATTCCAGATTGGGAGGAGTATTCCTTTGGCGGTCTCACACCACACTTTGTACCAACATAGTTTTCCTGACAGTTTTGGATTGTTATGATTAAAATTTGTGGTTATGGTCCAGATATATCGACGTAGCTTCAAGTGCACGGCCAGCGCCGCGCCACTCCGGCGGACCCCTACAAACGTTTTCCCATAATCTTGAACTTCGCTCGAAAAAAATTTGTCAACCACACCGTTATCAGTTTTTGTGATTTTTATCGAAAATTTAGATATTCATGAAGCAAGGGTTTCCCAGAGTTTAAGTTTTTGTGACAATCCCACGACATTAATAAATTTAGCCACTTTTTAGGACGTGGCAGGCCATTCTTGACAAACATTATTTAAAATGTCATATACAAAATTTGGTGACCAGCAGTAGTTCATCTCAACGAATCTATCGATGTTAAATGTGTGCACATGTCTTCAGTAATTTTGGTTTTATAACATTTACACCATCCTTCTATAAAAGCATGAAAGAGGATTGTCGGATTGCATTTAGAAAGCTGAAACTTTTGCCACGTATAAAAAATGTTCATTCTAGAGAAAAAATAGATAGTGTGGACATTGCTCCGTTGCTAAGAAATTAAAATTTTAAATCAAGCAATGTATGCTACAGAAAGTCTCGTAACTGTATGCTTCAAACTGCCCAGGACAGGGTATACTGTAAACTGTTGTTGAATTAACGAGAAGAATTGGTAGTATGGTACAATTTGTGTTCAATGCCAGTATGTTGGTATCGCGAGTGGAGTACTGTTTTGTGGTCCAGCTTTATAAATGAGCGATTTCGCAGATGTATTCGATATGAGTATACTCCCGTAATCGATTATGGAACGTTGTAATTTTTATTTTAGTGTTTCTTGTTGATGACTGGTGGTAGGCGTGTGACGGAAGTATGTGTTGTAAGGTAAAATATATGAAAGGAAATTAATGTCAGTACTTATGTATTTTACGTAGTACTATGAGAAGATGTATATGATGTAAAGATAAATGTGTGAATGGTCAAATTGGTTTCCCAGTGTAATGTTTTCGTCTGTTCTACTACTTGGTTGTTCAGATTTGTGTGGGTTGGGAGTAGTGTAATGGATGATGATGGCAGACAAATCTGAAGATGGCAGTGATGAAGATGAAGTTCATGAAGTGGATGATGATGAAAATCCGGAAGAGCAGCATAGTTCAACCAGTGAAACTGATGAATACAAGAAAGCCAGTTCTGCCAGTGAATCGTCTTCAGAGCAAGAATCTTGTCGAGTCATTACTAGGTCATTTACTTGTCAGAAAAGACAGGTTAAGATAAAGTGTGATACACCTCGACGAAAATGTCATCGCTGTGGTAAAGCCCTCTCTACAGACTTTTGTCTTTGTGTATACAAAATCCCATTTCAATGTGAACGGTGTAATTTAACATTTGCAGGTCTTCCAGAGTTTCAGGCACACATGCGATCTGTCCATACGCGTAATCGTAACAATACTGGCACCAACAATGACATTCCTCCCCAGAGTGTTACCAAAGAAAAGAGTCAACCAAGTGCACTTTTTCAGTATAATAATACAGAACCTAGGTTTGAATCAGAGGTTCTGAGAACAGAGCAATTGCAGGAAGTGCATACATGCCAGTCATGTAAAGAAACATTTAATACAAAACTTGGCCTTATGGCACATAGTTTAAATCACATTGAACGCGAAGAAACGAACATATACAAGTGCAAGCACTGTAATCGTGAGTTTACATCGACAGTTCGGTTGTCTATTCATGTGACACGAATGCACACTGAGGAGAAAAAATTTGTGTGTGATGTATGCAACAAGGGTTTCAGGTAGGAAATATATACATCTAGTGCTTGTAGACCAACCATTGCTGGTGTAGTGGTTAGCCCTTGTGCTTTGTATTTGAGGGGTATCCATTAAAAGTACCAATTGGCTTGATTCCTGATTCACAGGTTATTTAACATTCTGAGGACTGTAAATGTACCTGTACGTTCATTCATTGAACATAGAAATTTCTGTCAAGGGGTGTGATCATGCTGAGAAGACCATAATTTCATCTGTTTTCTAAAGGGGCAAGCATGGCTGCGATAAAGTCAGTGCTCCATGTGGGATTTTATGTGTAGATTGTTGTGGTCCTAGTATCTAATGGTATATGCTGTTGACAAGAACAGCAAAAGTTAGTGATGTATTTCTAAAATGAGTTGCACCAGTGATATAATTTCAAATATTGATTTGGGAAGGATGTGAAAGAAGTAGTCTCAGCTAATTTTACTAATACATAATTTGCTTGGAGTGACCAACAAAAATCATGAAGAAACCTCTGAATACCATCTCTGGACAGGGTTTGAAATGCAGCATCACCTGAACACAGGCCTTGAGTACTAATTCATCTGTGACATTTGGTAGAATTTGAGCTAGAATATTTGCTAATATGGTGTAGGAAGTTTCCCATGGATTTTCTATCTCTAGGAAAATGCTGGTATATCTCAGAACAAGTCATGAGTGTTTCCTTTTTCAGATTTCCTGATGTTTGTTCCCCTTCCCTGCAAGCTTTGGGTACTTCTCTCACGTAAAGCAAAACACTCTTGACCTTCCATCTTGTCTTCAGCCTCTTTGTACTCACTGTTTGTATTCCATAAGTGCTGTGTAGGGGACTAGAATAGAATATATTTGCATTCCATAGATCCTTCATAGGCCTAAGCCAAGGATGTGGAACAGGTCATAGCACAAATACAATACTTGTTTCTAGTACAAATATAAATACATAATTATAACAGTGATTGAAAGATTTTTGGAAATACAGTATTACAGCAAAATAATTATGATGAGAACCATCACCATTATTACTTACATGTTAGTATCCCGTCAGCAGACAGGCAGGCAGATTTATCTTAGGGTGGATAATAAATCCTTTGAAAATTTTACAAAGTTGAAATATTTGGGAACAATAACAAATCAAAATGATACTCATGAGGAAGTTAGGAGGAGACTATATTCTGGAAATGCTTGCTACTTCTCAGTTCAAAATATTTTGTGTTCCCGTCTGAGAACCTGAAAATTGAAGTATACAAAACAATAATTTTGTCTGTTGTTTTGTATGGGTGGGAAACATGGTATCTCACTCTGAGGGAGGAACATAGATTGCAGGTGTTTGAGAATAGGATGTTGAGGAGGATTTTTGGGCCTAGTAGAAAAGATGATGGGGTCTGGAGAAAACTACATAATGACGAACTTAAAAATTTATACTCCTCCCCCAGTTTTGTCAGGGTGATTACGTTGAGAAGAATGAGATGGGTGGGTCATGTAGCGCGCATGGATGGGACAAGAGGTGTGCACCAGGTATTGGTTGGGATACCTGAGTGGAAGAGACCGCTGGGGAGATCTAGACATAGATGGGAGGATAATGTCAAGCAGAATCTATGGGAGACTGGATTTTGTTGCCCGAGGACAGGGTCCGGTGGAGGGCTTTGGTTAATTCGGTGATGAACCTTCAGGTTCGGTAAGCCATCTAGTTAGTTAGTTAGTTCAATATAAATATGATCTTTCCTGGAACTGTCTATAAAACATTATCAGTGGCAGTACTGGACTGTTTGTGAAGGATTATTGTGTTGTATAAGATATATTTTTAACAGTGTAAGGTGTCCGTGGATGTAGTATATATTTAATAACTACTATCTGAAAATAATTATGTCAGTGTTTCTTCCCTGTTTCCATTGTAGCTCCTAACTTTTGTAGGTGGCAGTTAGATCTGCAAGAAATGTGTTAAAACCATGTTATTTTAATGATGCCGATTATCCATGGATTAAGTGTTGTTTATCTCCATTTTTACAAAAGAATAAATGTTATATTGTAGTGGTT